ATATCCCATTTCACTTTCAGGAATTTTTCCATGTGAAGTAATAAATCAAAATTTATTAGTTTGGGCTGGATAGATTTTAAAAATCCTTAATATTCAATCATTAAGCATAAGCATAGACAGGAAGAGATATCTGTAATCTTTTAAGTAGTCATCAATCTTACTACAGTTGCAAGGATTTTTTTTTTCCTTTCAAAATGTGAAATTTTTCTTTTGTTACCATACATTCATTGAGCAGCATTGTAACTCTGTGTGAATAAAGAGCAATTGAAACTCGCGTTGAATGAATGAGTAAAAAGCACAAATTACTTTTTAATGAAACCCTCAATTCTTCTCCGTTCCACAGAAAGCCCATAGCCTTGTTCAGCTGAATGCTACTACAGTAGGTCACTTCAGTTAAGCCCCTAATAAACTGTTGATAGTCGAGGGCAGTTTTTTCTCCAGTTTCAATAGCCCAGTGTTGGACAGTGCACTTCAGATCGTTAGGGTTAGTATAGGAGTTGGTTTTTTTAAAAAGAGAGAGAGATTGAGGGTGGTGGTTTACAACCCCCACACATCCACATGCATTGAACAAGATGCCAGAGCGGGATGAAATTTTGGTGAAGTTGTGGGCAGGGGAGCAAGTTGGCGCTACCAGTTTGAAAATGGGATGTTGCTCAAATGTACCCTAACTGGGTTTGAAAAATGCCCTGAAAAGGAACAAAGTGAGACTTTTTCTCACTCATCATACTTGCAAGGCAGTCTAGGAAAGGGAGGATGGCTGAGGGGGTGAGACATTCCCCACCAGTGCTTGAAAGCTTGCCTTGATTTCAGGGAGAGCTGAAAAATAGGGCATCTTCCAGGACTGGGGCCTTTGAGAGAACTGACAGGTCTATGAGGATGTTTCTCCCGGAAAAACAGCGTCTTTCCATGGTCAAAACACAATTTCAGGGCTTCCACCCATGCAGAATTATGTTCTGTTGGAAATTGTGGGCACAACAAATACCCTCTTCCTAGAAAATAGCTATTTTTTAATAGGGGTTTGGGGTTTTTTTTAAACAGTAACAAATAGACATTGAGCGTGGTGTTTATGTTTTCTTCTCTTCCTGAGAAGAAAGTTTCGTTTAAATCTTCTGTTGCGTTTTAGCTATTCAGTGCAAGCTGGATTTCTCCCTAAATCCTCGGCTGAAAGAACTTGTATTTCCCCCTTCGCCATGCCTTTGCTCACTTGTGGTTTCTCTGGAAGACAGGCAGTCCTTGTTGAGGGTTCGGCTGCTTGCATAGCAGCGCGCGTGCTACAGGGATGTCCTTTTGCATGAAGAAATATTCTGATGGCGCAGGAAAACATAAGGTGCAATGGACTCATCATGTCAGCTTGCCTCTGAAATTAATAGGTATTCCGTTCACCTAACCCGTATGAGTTTTGGAAAGCAATAGACCCTTCGCTGTGACACAGTGCCGGTGTAGGTGAGCGTTTTCCTTCTGTGGCAGAGTTGGGTGTAGGTGGGTTGTGGTGCAAGGCCGGCTTTGCAGGCAGCGTTTGCATCTCCTCTGCTGGAGCAGATGCGTTCCTCCTTTTCCTTCTACCACAAAATAAAATTAAAAACCTCTGACTTGTTATTGACAAGGATAAAGCAGGGTGAGAAAAGATGTGCCATGGGTTTGATCAACTCCAGCAAAAGTCCTGTTATTTTCAGGAATAATAGTTAGCAGCTCAGATTCATTAGCCAAGCAAAATCTAAGCTCTATGTGACGGCCTGCCTGGAAAACAGTTTGTTTTGCTGTCTTTGGGCTTTAATTAAGATGTGTTCAATTCTAGCCCCCTGGCTCCCCTCTCCCCCTACCCCCACCCCGCTTGCTGTGTCACAGACCGGCGATCAGACGCTTTCAGATGGTCCAGCCCATGACTTTGACCTTCTGCGCGGTCCGGCGTTCCCTGGGGAACCGTTCAGCTCATGAGGTCTGATTTCACACTTCCAGGATGCCTCGGCTCTCTGAACAATGACAGGGAGACAAAGCCCTTTAGAGCGGGCCGCATGGGGACTTGTTTAAATTGGAAACTAGAGAGGAGTCAAGGAACAAGGTTACAGGCTACAGAATAGTGCTTTTAATAAAGAGCTCACAGCTCTGGTGCAGCTCAAAGAGGGCTACCTCTGTACAATTAATTGAGACATTTATCTGGAGCATCTTAGGCCTCTACTTTCTCACAGAATTATGTGATAAATATCAGCTAAGAGGCAAATGAGATGTGCATGAAATGAATTTTTAACACTTTGATTACTGTGTCTCCAGTCTTCATTAGAAGTAAATTTATTTGTATTTCTGACCTCATTATTAATCAATTGTCTGCTTTTTTTTTTCTTTTTGGCTGGGGGGAGGGGTGTGATGGTACCGTGATTTCAGAACCTCGTATGTCAGACAGATTTTAGTGAAGAGCTTGGTGATATTTAGGCTTACAGTCAAAACCTTTTCAGGCTTCTCCTACTGTGAAGCACAGAAACTAAGTATAGAAAATGAGGCAGAATTTTATTTTTTTTTCTTCTTCAGTTTTAAGTCTGGAATTCAGCCTCTCTTTTAAGAAAATTCCATGTTAAAATTTTGATTAAAGTACTTGAAAGTAGGATGGAGATACCGAAATGACTAAATGTGCAGAATGTAAATGAGTTTTCTAAAATCTGTTCTACTAAAAAGTCCTAATACCACATGTGCAAAAATATTCTTCGAAAATGTTCTTCAAATGCTAGGGAACATCAGAGTGATGTACACAAACGTTAAATTCACAAAGGTATGGAAGCCCAGGCATGTAAAATTGAAGGAATAAATTCAGAGGCCCTTTGGAAATATGGTTCCAAAAGTAATTTGCTCTGTCAATTAGTGCAACCAGATTTCAATATACACTTGAAATATCTTCACAAAGTATGGAAATCTACTAGATGGGCAGTATTCTATGGTAGATAAAAATCTCACCTGGTCCTGTCATACAGATCACCTGAAGATATCAGCCCAGTATCATATCCTGCAAAACTACTTTTTTTTAAAGAAAGTAGCAGGTTTAGAATAGTAATGGCAAAATTTGGATTTAAAATACATTTTTGGTTAACTGTTGCGTTTAGAATTAAATATACAGTGAAAGGATGACTTGTGGTTATTAACTTTTTCTTTTTTTCCCCCCCTGTAACTATTTTCTGGAAATGAGTTTAACACGATTG